CCCGCCTGCCTGTGCAGGCACCTATGCTTTTGGCGCGCCGCAGGGCTTTGGCGCGGCTGCCCCCGCCGGCGGCTTCAACTTTGGCATGCAGCAGTGAGGGCTGCAGCCGCCAGCCGGCCGGGAGCGCTAGCACCGCCCCCGGCGGCTCCCCCTTTAGTACCCTCTCTCTCCGCGCTGCCGCCAGCCAGGGCCGCCGCCAAAGCAGCAGCCGGCCGCGGCAGCGGCGCACACACACTAGCATCCTGCCCGGGTATGGCACGCCCCGCCGCCCTGCGTCCACCTCCCCACGCACTTCCTGCGCGGGCGCAGCAGGCCTCCCCCGGGCGCCGGGCCCTCCCTCCTCGCTCCAATCTGCATCCCTGCATTCTTTCCTGCATTTGCTTGCATGCACTGACTGTACTCTACTGCCGCTCCTGCTTGGCGCTGACTGTGTGTGTGTGTCCCTCGGTGTGCACGGCCTTGCTTCCTGGCCCTTCTATGTTAGCTTCATCGGCCCTCGTGTGCCCCAATTCTGCCGGTATGCGCCCCACCTCACTTTCACTTTGACCGGCGTGTAAGCAACACGCTGCTTGCCTGGGTGCCGCACACGGTCGGCTGGTGGGCTGAGACTGGCGCTCACATGGGAGTAAGGACAGCAGAGGAGTACACGCAACTTGCAGCAGACTGGCAGCACTAACAGGATATCTAGCATGGCATGCAAGCAAACAGCAGTGTGATGGGTCGCAACGCAAACGATTGATTAAATCTGGGAGGCTCTGGCTCCCAACAGGTTAACGCGGGCCTCCCGCTACTGCTGCTGGCCGTCCTGCCCCTCCAGCGGCGCCGCCTTGCCCTGCAGGCAGGCAGTGGCGGGTTGGGCACGTTCGGCCGATGCGGCCGATGCTGCCACGCCGCAATGCTGCTCTGGACGACACGCACCCCTACGCTGCACACGCCGACGCCTGCCACTGCGCGCTGCTGCCCTGGGCAGCTTGCGGGGCGGCCGTGCGCGGCAGCAGCGTGAGCAGGCGGGCCCCGGCCTCGTGCCTGTGTGCGCAGGCAGGCGGGCAGGCGGGCGGGCGCACCTGGCGGTGGAAGGCGAAGCGGTCTGCCATGCTGATTGCCACGCTGATCCCCGCCAGCAGCGACCCTCCCGCCAGCACCGTAACGGCACCCTTGAACAAGTAGTCGCCCAGCTGGCCCTTGCTCATGGCTGGCGTGGCTTGCCTGGCTGGCTGCCTGGCTGGCTCGGCGTCCCTGCTGGTGCTGCCCTCGGGTGGGACACGTGCCTCGGCACAAGTGGCGGCTGCGGCTGTGGCAAGGAGCAGGGTTTGCGCGGGTTGCGGCAAGTGACAGAAGGCCTGCAGGGGGTGGTGGTAGGGTGGTGGTGGTGGAAGGGCGAGGATGCAGAGCCAGCAGGGGCAGAGGCGGGAGTCCTTGGGACGGCGGGCGGGCGAGCAGCAGCGGCAGCGGCCCGGCTGGCAGGCGCAGGGAGGAGCGGCGGCGGGGCAATAGAGCAATGGGGGCAGCACTGGGGCACTCAGAGGGTCCTGCAGGAGGGAGGCGGACATGGAGGCACACTGGCCTGCTCACCAGCCGCTCCCCGTGGGCAAGCTTCACTGCTGATGTGTGACAAGAACCTAGGAAGAGAATTGACTGGCTGCGGGGCATCTTCGAAGGAGTTCAGAAACTGCCAGCGAGGCAGTTTTCTATAGCGGCCAATTCGCACACCAGACTCCTGATGGTGTTGTCGTTTCTCGCTGCTTGATGTCTAGGTTCTGCGGTGTTGGGGTTTGCGTGCTGGGCGCTGGGCCGATGGCAACCATGCCCGGCTTGCCTCCTCATAGCTTGAAGGGCCCCAAAGGCCCCCAGTCCTCTCCTTGCCATCCACTCTCACTAAGACCACCGAGGCAGGGCTCCCATAGCCCTACAGCCACCGTGTAAGCCCACTGCTGCTGCATCTGTCAACCTGCTGCCTGGTGAGCTTCCTGGGGGGTTGGAAGGGGCTGTCAACAGGTGCCAGGGGCTCCTGCTGCTGCTTGCTGGAGATAGGGGTCGATCCACCTCGCTGAGTGACTGCTCCTGACTGCTCCGGCTGCCCAAGACTGCGAGCTACTGCGTAATGAGAGTGAAACTGAGGGCCCTGCTGGGCTTGGCGGCTGCACAAGGGCAGCCGCTGCGCCAGCCACGACGGCGAGAAGCACAGCACCTCGCTGTCTTTCCATCCCAGTGATTCCTTGCTTCCTGCCCCCTTTGCCAAACCCTGCAGAGGGCGTCATTCTGCCGCCACCGCCGCTGCTGTAGCAGGTCTCGCTACATAGTGGCAGAGTAAAAAGGGTGTGAACGCCCCGGTAAGGCGGTCCTTTTAGCCAACCCCGTTACAGCTGCAGCCCCCGCCAGGGCGTGCACGCACTGGTGCTCGCCGGGCGTCCTACCTGCCATTACCCGCTGCGCCCGCGCCAGCCACAAAGCCCATGAGGCAAGTGGTAGTGGTGGGGGGGGGCATCCGCGGGGACTATGCTGGTGGGGTGCAAGTCGCAAACGCAGGCTGATCCCCATTGTGGTGGAGGAATCCAGCTAGTCACAGGTAGCCTACAAGCAGCAGGACCGCCGCCGCCGCGGCGCCACCCGGGTGCACGCGAGCTGGCGCCGGTCCTGCTTTCTTTTAGGGGTCCTGCATCCGACTGGATACCACTAGTACTACTAGTACTTAAGAAGACCAGCCTGCTGTCTGCGACCCCCAACTAGCAGAGTCCCCGCTGATCATCAGCATGGTGCCCACACCACCTGCCGGGCCTGGGCAGCCAGTTCGGCATCAGTAGCCTGGGCAGTAAAACATGTGGCCGCTGAATGTGACCACGCAAGCGAGCATCATCTGCCCTGGTGATGCTCGCTTGCGTGGCCACATTTAGCGGCCAGGTGCACTTCTGAGCACCTGAAGCCCTTCCCCCTCCAGCCTCCTGTGGCATGGCAGCCTGGTGTGTGTGTGTCTGAGACATCCCGGTGGGCCACCAGCCTCACATACCGTGCTGCTTGCCGGTGCAGTTCTGGCCTGGCTGTTGGGCTGGGAGTGGCTGGACGCAGCCCAAGCCTTGTCATGCGCCATCCCCCCTTGTGAAGATCAGTGCTTGACTCCTTGCATCAATCTTCACAGGTTGCTGGGCTAGCGCCTGGAGGCCGCCGGTGTCTCGTTGTGGCCATCCCCAAGAGGAACCCCACCCTCACGGCCCCGCTGCATTGCGCTTCACGCGGGGTGGGGCTCCTCTTGGGGCTGCTCATCTGGACACCGGTATCCTGCAGGCGCTAGCAGAGCACCAGGCGCAGCTAGGCTACGCGAGGTTGCCAGCTCAGCAAGCACATCTGCCTGATGAACAGAGGGGCTGCGAACCAGGCCTGCAAGGCGATGACGTACATGATGCCCTGCACTGTGCTCCTGGTGGTGGCTCGCCACCCCACATAGCCTTGGCTGCCCCCCCTCCTGCAGCCCAGAGTGTGGTGCCGCAGGCACCAGCGGAGCAGGCGGCCAAAGGCATGCCTGCCGCTCCTGCGGCGGCGGCGTCAAGGCGAGCGCCACATTTCTCCTCTCCTTCCTCGCTGCGCTCCTGAATGGGCCAATGCGCTGTTCTGCACAGCCGCTGGCTAGGCCTGGGTGGACCCGGCGGGCGGCAGCTGGCTGCTGCTGCCAGCCTGGCGCTTTCCTGCTGCTGCCACCCTGCCACCTGTGCCTGCTGATCGTGTTCCTCGCCACCTGTTGTGCGCTGCAGGCTGGGCAATTCCACCACCAGTAGCGGTTCACCGGCGGGGCCAACCCTAAGCACAGCTTGGGGTATCCAGTTGCGGCCTAACGTCAGCACCTTGCCGCGCAGCGTCAGCGCCGTCAGCCGCGTGAGCTGCAGCAAGCCGTGCAGCCGCAGGGGCAGCTGGTGGCACCCGACATCCAGCTCACGCAGCCGCGTCAGCTGAGCCACCCAGGACGTGGACGGCGGCTGCGGGGTGCAAGTGCTGACGCTGAGCCGCTCCAGCCTGGGGCCGCCCGCGGCCACGCACACCGTCAGGCACCTGCCGACCATTTCCCCCTGCTCCGTCTCCAGCTGCGGCGGTTCGACATAGTCAAAGGCAGCCTCTGCCTCCTCTGCGGCCAGATCCAGCAGCCGGATGTGGCGGGCATGCCGTGCCAGGAAGGCAGCCAGGGAGGCGGCTCGCTGCGTGACTGCATCGCCCGAGATGTTCACATGTAGGCTATCCAGCAGCTCGGGCCCAAAGCATAGCCGGCGGAAGCGCTTGCTAACCAGCGACGCGCCACGCAGCCAGCAAGCGCAGAGAGGGGCGGAGGCGGTGGAGGGTCGGTGGACGAGCTGGGCCTGCCGCTGCGCAACATCCGCCGCTGCCCAACATCCGTCCGCAACAGGTGCTTCCTCCGCTTTACGCACCTCTCCTGCTGCGACAGCCACCCCAGGCACCGCCTTGCGACCTCGTCAGGCAAAGAATCGAAGCCAGGCATGATCCCTGGTATCGTTCCGCAACCAATTGGTTGCGAATTGGCTCACGAAGGCTCGTATGGGGGCGCAGATGGGGAAAGCTGCCAGCGAGGCAGTTTTCCATAGCGCCAATTGGCACGGCGAAGGGCTCCTGATCTGTTGTCGTTGCTCGCTGCCAGGCGTCTGGAACCCGTGGCTTTGGGTTTTGGTGCCCAGCACTCGGCGCCCACATCGGCTTACACAAGTTGGCAAGCGGCAGCGGCGGAGGGATGGAGAACATGAGGAATGTGAAGATGCCGTCCGGCCCAGGCGCCGGCAGGCTGGCCAGGGTGCTGCTCATAGGCGGAGCCGCTGTGTATGGGCTCACGCATAGCCTGTTCAACGTGGAGGGCGGACATAGGTGATTGGGCGCCGGATATGGCGTGGATGTAGCAGCCATCTGGCGGGCCTGCAGCCGGCTTCTAGGCAGCAGTGTGGCATGCCCCGCTTTGGGCCTCTCCCGAGCTCCATGCACCATCTGCACGCGCTCAGAAGGCAATGGGAGCCCCGCTGCCCGCTGCCGGGCGGCCCGACCCCTCTGGAAGCCACCGCCGCCTCGGCCGCCAGTCACCCGCCCCGCCTCGTGGCCTTCCCGCCTGCGCCGGCCCCTGCCCGCGCAGAGCCATCGTGTTCAACCGCATCGGCGGCATCAAGGAGGAGGTGTACGAGGAGGGCACACACTTCATGCTGCCCTGGTTTGAGCGCCCAATCATATACGACGTGCGCGCCCGCCCCAACGTCATCACCTCCACCTCGGGCTCCCGCGACCTGCAGATGGTGAGAGCTTGCAGGGGGCGGCGCGCGTGCCGTGCAGCGCGTGTGGTGGAGGCTGCGGAGGGCAGCCTCACGCGCGTGCCCGGCGTGCGTGTGTGTGGAAGGGACAGGACCGGCCTGGCTTCATGAGAACACCGCCCCACACAGTGCCTGTTTGCCCGCTCCGCTTCCACCCGATCCTCCTCCTCCTGGCCTCCTCGCCCCTGAACCCGCCCCGTGCCCTGCGCCTGATCTCGCCCCGCGCCTCCCCGTCCGCCGCCGCCCCCCAGGTCAACATTGGCCTGCGGGTGCTGACGCGGCCCATCCCGCAGCGGCTGCCCGAGATCTACCGCACCCTGGGCACCGACTATGCGGAGCGGGTGCTGCCCAGCATCATCCAGGAGACGCTGAAGAGCGTGATCGCGCAGTACAACGCCTCGCAGCTGCTGACCATGCGCGAGGTGCGGGGCCGTACCGCCTGCCCGCTGCGCCGTAGCTTGGCCCCACACCCCGGCTGCTGGCCGTCTTCTGGAAGCACCTCTCCGCCAAGCGCAGCCCCAAGCAGCATGGCATGGCCAGCCCAGCCATCCTGCTCCTCCTCACGCCGCCGCCGCCGCCTCCCGCCCCCGCCCCTGCGCCACGCAGGTGGTCAGCCGCGACATCCGCCGCATCCTGACGCAGAGGGCGCGCTACTTCAACATTGTGCTTGACGATGTGTCCATCACGCAGCTCACATTCAGGTGCGGGGCGGCGGCTGCCCGCCGGCGCCGTGGCTGCCCGCCGGTGCCGTGGCTGCAGCCCTGGCTGCTGCTGCTCCCCGCGGCCCGCCCAGCGGCCCGCAGCCTGCAGAAGACGCCCTTGCGCTCGCCTGGCAGCTGCTACTGCCCGCCGGCAGCTGCACCGTGCGGGCATGGGTGCAGGCTCTTCAGCAGGCTTTCTTGCAGGGCGGCGGGGCGCTGCTGCCGCGGCTGGTGCTGCTGGCATCCTCCTGCCCACGTGCCGGCCATGCGCTGCCCGGTCAGCCACGCAGCCCTGACCCCGTGCCTGCGCCCGCCACTTCCCTCCCGTCCCCACCCGCAGCCGCGAGTACACGTCAGCGGTGGAGGCCAAGCAGGTGGCGCAGCAGGACGCCGAGCGCGCCAAGTTCATTGTGAGCCCCCCGCGCTGCTCCCGCTGCTGCCGCTGCCTCTGCGCTTTGACTGCGGCGCCTGCGCCTGCCGCCTGCATGCTGCCACCTGCTCCTGTGCCTGCACCATACACCCTGCTGTGGCCTGCCTGGTGGCGTTTGGGTGGCGTTTGGGTGGCGCAGGCGGTTGCATGCCTCTCTGTTTGGGGGCCCACCTCCCCACCGACCGCCTGCCCCCGCCCCCTGCCCGCGGCGCGCAGGTTGAGAAGGCGGAGCAGGACAAGCAGAGCGCGATCATCCGCGCGCAGGGCGAGGCGCAGTCGGCCACGCTGATCGGGCAGGCGGTGCAGCAGAACCCGGCCTTTTTGACGCTGCGCAAGATCGAGGCGGCGCGCGAGATTGCGTCCACCGTGTCGGGCTCCGCCAACCGCATCTTCCTCAACTCCGACTCCCTGCTCCTCAACCTCTCCGACTATGAGACCAAGAAGAAGTGAGGGAGGCACGCGGGGGAGGCGGAGCAGGGAGGCATGCGGCAGGCTGTTGCCCCAGCGGGCTGCCAGCCTCCAGCCGAGCGGCGCCACATGCGGAGGCCTCAGCAGTAGCAGAGCCAGAGCCATGTTTTAGTAGTTTCTACTTCATGCCTACCCCGCTGGCCCCCACCGCCTGGCTTGGAGCCCGCTCGATGTTTTCTGGGATGCATGATTGGCGGGTGCCCGCTGTAGGGCTGCCCATCCCCACCCCACCTCTCTCTTCATCAGCAGGACCAACCGCCTGTAACCCAGACTGGTAGCGGGGATGACCCTGGTTCAGTTGACACTGTGTGGTTACAGCGTTGCCCTTTGCCCGAGAGAGGGGCGGGTGACTACCAATATCCAAATCGCCGGGGTGGGCGCGCGCCCGCAGGCCAGCTGCACAGCGCCGCCCCCCAGAATGCGGCCGGCGGCGGGCCGCTCGCCGACGCCAGCGCAAGCTGCGCCGCCGACGCCGCGGCGGTGATGCCGCTCCTGCCTTGGCTCCAGTGGCGGGCAGGCGGCTTACGCCACCTGAGACTCCGCCTTGGCGCGCAGCGACCTCAGCTTCTTCTTGGCCTCGTAGTAGGCGGCAGACTGCAGGAGGGGGCCGGGGAGGACAGGAGGGGGGAGGGGTCAAGAAGGAGGAGAGCAGAGGGAGAGATGTCGCGCCGGGGAGCTGCGCGCGTGCCTCCAAAGCCCCTGCTGCCCGGGCTGCCGCAGCCGCGGCGCTCGTGAGGCCACGTGCTGGCTCTGCTGCCGCGGCTGCGCCCCACAGCGGCGTCGCCGTACCGCTGGCACCGCGCGCCCGTCCCGCCTCACCTTGACCTTGCGCTTGGCCTCCAGCTCCTTGACGGCCTCCTCGTGCTTCCAGCCCACAGACGAGGCCAGGTTGCCCAGCTGGCAGTAGCGGTGGCCGTGCTGCAGGCGCAGCACCTTGAGGGCGTCGGGGATGACCATGCGCTTGACCTTGTCGTAGGGGGCGGGGATGCCCTCAAACGCCTTGAGGCGCTCCAGGGCTGCGGCGCCGCGGGCGGTCTTGTGCGGGGTCATGCCGCGCACGGTGCGCCACAGGATGCGGCTGGGGGCCCTGCGGGCCGGCGTGCGGCGGGTTGGGGCAGGGACAGGAGGAGGCGCGTCAGCAGGCAGGCGGGGCTCGAGCAGGCACGGCGGAGGCGACAGCAAGGAGAGGCGTGTCCAGCTGCACGCTGCGCTGGTGGGCTGGGGCAGCAGGGGAGACGGGCTGGCGGGTTCCCTGCTGCAGGGCTGCCTGCCACATCGACTGGCTGCTGCTGCGTTGCCTTGACACCCCATCCATACAGCCCTGCTGGTGCCCACGCGCGGCTGCGACTGCCCGTCGGCGCCACGCCCAGCGAGCGTCCAGTCCTCTGCTGCAGTGATACAGAGCGGCTGCCCCCTGCCGCCTGCCGCAGGCCCCGTTGAGGTGGCTGCCTTCCAGCTGCGACGCCGGCCAGCAAGAGGCCGCCATGCCGGGCTGCCATCGCCTGTGTTCTGCTGCAGCCAGAATTCAACGCAGCTCCACGGCTGCCGCTGCCTGCTGGTGCGTGTGCCGCAGGCAGGCGGCGTCGGCCGCGTGTGCGCCAGCTGCTGGTGGTCCCAAAGGCCCGGTGCCGCGCCTGCGGCCCCCCGGAAACCAAGGCCGTCCCCTTCCAAACATAGCAGCCCTGGCAAACACAGCCCGCATCCCGCACCTGAACTTGACGGCTCCGCGGCGGGGGTTGGTGACGGAGCGCTTGCGCAGGAAGCGCTCGTACTTGGCCTTCTGCCGCACCATGCCGCCGCTGATGTTGATCTCCTCGCACCGCACGCACACCACGTGCTGGCCGCTCAGCAGCTGCTTGGCCAGCACCTGCAGCAGCCGCGAAAGCCACAGCGCGTGCGCATTGAGTGCTGGGGGCAGAGGCAGGCCAGGCAGCACGCGGCGGCAGTGGGCCGTGGTGCCCCGCCGCCCCGCCGCGCTTGCCGCTTGCCCCTGCCCAGCCGGCCTGGCTGCCTGCCCAGCGCATCGGCCATGCCCCGCACAGCCTGCTGCACACTCACGCTGGCCAGGCGGCCAAGCATATGGCCCCTGCAGTCCACGACCACAGTCTGCACACAAGAAACATGCAGCATGTCAGCGCTCCGGCGGCACATGGGCGTCCAAACCGCTCAGCCCACAACGGCAAGCCCCGGCGAGCCGCCCGCCGTGCTATCCGCCATGCTGCCACGCCTCTGCTGGTGATGCAGGTGTCCAACGCTTCTGGGAGCATGCGCGCTGGCCATCAGGCGCATGCAGGCTCCAGAGGGCCAAGCGGGGCCTTGCTGCACGCTGCCCACTGTCGCATGGCTCGCAGGCCCCGCACCTGCGGCATGTTGCTGCTTTGCCTCCAATGACCCGAGGCCTAAAGAGGAAGGTGCAGGGCAGGGCCGGCGCCAAGTGCCACGCCCCAGCCACGCAGTCGTCCCCGGCGGGGGACCCCGAAAATAAACAGAGACGTCTCAAGCTGTCGCCTGACGCCAAATTTGAGGTGTTACGCAAGGCTTGCGGGTGTTGAACACACACCCGCGCTGCCGGAGGCGAAGGCCCGATTGCAACAGTCGCGGGGCGGGGAAAGGAACCCCAGAAAGCGCTCCGGGTGGCTCTATGATTCTCTGAGATGGCTAAAATCACGCGGTCGGGGCCAGGGAATCGGCCATGAGCGACGCCGAAGTGCAAGCGCTGCGGGACGAGCTTGCCAAGGCCAAGGAGCGGAATAAAAAGCTGAAAAGCTTAAGTGTGAGAAGATTCAGTCCACCGCAGCTGCCGCTGTTCGCCGGCTGTGCTCTGCCGCCACCGCCGCTGCCGCGCGGCACCGCCCGCCGCTTGTTGGGACTCGTGTCGATTGCCTGCTGCTGTGCTCCATCCCCTTGCATCACGCTCACCATTCACCTCGCCGCCCGCCGCCCCCGTGCCTGCGCTGGACAGGTGGTGTTGAAAGGAAAGGCCGACCTCACGACAGGTTACGCCGCAAGGTATCACGAGGAGAAGCAGCGACGGGCCATGGCGGAGCAGGCGCTGCAGGAGAAGCAGCGTGAGGTAGCGACCGCAGTCGGCCAGGCAGAGCAGGCGCTGCAGGCGGCACAGGCGGCCGCCAAGGCGGCAGGCGCCGCTCGCAGTGAGGCGGCGGCAGCCACTCAGCAGCTGGCGGCGTTGCGGGGCCAGCTGGAGCTGCTGCAGAGCCAGCAGAGCCAGCAGCGCGGAATGCTCGAGGAGATGCAGCGGTGGAGGGCTGCACTGGCGCTGGCAGCAGGCGGCGGCCTCGGCGGCGGCGCCCCTGCAGCAGCCCTGCCGGCACCGCTGCCTGCTGCTCCGGCAGCGCCAGCGCCGGGCCCGGCGGCGTCGCCCCGCCGGCAGCGCCAGCGCCAGCAGGGGCCCGCCTCGCCCCGGCATGCGCCGCCGGCCGCGCGAAAGGCATCAGCAGCAGCTGCCCCGCCGCCGCCGCCGCCACCTCCGCCGCCGCCGGCTGCCCCATCGGCAGAGGAGACGCGTGCCAAGGCGGTGGCAGCCCGGCAGGCCGCGGCCGGCGGCAAGCGGCCGCGCGGCGCGGCGGATGCAGCGGCGGCGCCCGCCCAGGCAAACGTTTTTGCCGATCTCATGGGCGACCTGCAGGCGGGCGCCAAGCGGCCCCGCCAGGCCGCGGCGCCCGCTCCCGTGGCGGCGGCAGCCCGAGCGGCGGCGGCGCCTGCCGGGCAGCAGCGGCGCGGCGCGCCGCCCGCCGCGCCCGCGCCAGCAGCCGCCGCGCCGGGGGAGCCCTCCCTGGCCGTCTCTGCCAACGAGCTGCACGTTGAGCAGCAGCGGGAGCAGGCGACCGCGGTGGAGGAGGCGGCGCAGCAGCTGGGGCGCATCACTGCCGGGGGCCCAGGCGGCCCCGGCGGCGAGCTGAGCGTGGAAGCTGTGAGGCAGGTGGCGGCGGAGCTGCACAGGCGGCTGATTGAGGAGCGGCTGCCGCTGCCGCTGCTGCTGAGCTGCTTCGAGTCGGCGGTACTGGCGTGCGCGGCAGCCAAGCCGCAGATGCAGTACCTCCAGCTGTACCTCCAGCAACAGCAGGCGGGCGGCGACCAGCAGCAGGCCGAGGCAGCGGCCGCCGCCGCCGCCGCCGCCGCCTGCCCGGCTGCCGCCTGGTTTGAGGCCGGCCCAGAGGCGCGCGGCGGGCAGCAGCAGGCGGGTGGTGGCCAGGGCGGCGGCAGCCTGCCTGCGTTTGCGGCGGTGTGGTCCAGCCGAGAGGCGCTGGCGGGCCACCACCTGCCCTGGCTGCTACACTGCGCAGCCTGGATGCAGCAGCTGGAGCGGCAGTATGCTGGGGCGGCGGCGGCGGCCGCAGGCTCCCCCCGAGCACAACCGCGGCGCGGCGGCCAGCCGCTCCTGGCGTCGCTGCGCCAGCACCTGCACCGCCTCGTGCTCGGCTGCTGCCTGGCAGCCAGGCGCCCAGGCGGCAAGGCTGGCTGCGGCGGCAGCGACTTCAGCAGCGCACTGCGGCACACTGAGACGGAAGTGTGCACGCTGGCGGCGGCGGCGGCGGGGCTGTGTCGCGCCACGGGGGACGGAGAGGTGCGGCCCGACGCTGCCGGGCCGCCTGGCAGCCGCTGCAGCGCTTGCTGGGGCCTTGCCTGGCTGCTTGTTTCAGCCGTCCAACGTGGGCTCTGTGCCTTGCTGTGCGCCCGGCTGATGGAACTGTGTCATAGCGGCTTCCCTCGCTATGACCTGGGCCTGGCCCCTCCCCTGCTGCCGCCTGCCCCTGCTCCGGCCTGACCCCTCTTCGGCTGCCACCTGCCCCTGCTGCCTGCAGGCTTTCTGGGCGCTGCTCCTCGACCTGCTCACCTGCCCCGCGCCTGCCGCCGCTGTGCTGCCTCCCCTGGCGGCGGCGCTGGATGTCTGGCCCTCGCTGCTGGAGCCTGCCGCAGCGGACCGGCCTGGCGGCGGCGGGCTCAGCCGCGCGTGCGTCCATGCTGCGCTGCAGCGGCTGTGCTCGGCGGCAGCTGCCGGAGAGGAGGAGGCGGCTGGGCAGGGCGGCGGCGCCTCGCCGCCGCCGCTGCTGCCGGAGCGGCAGCCGGCGGCGGCCTCGCTGTTCCTGCGCCGCCTGGGGCAGCGGGTGTGGGGCTGGGCGGAGGGCGCGGCCGGCGACGGGGAGGCGCTGCGGGAGCTGAAGGCGGCACTGGCACAGCCGCCGGGGGGCCTGGCGCTGCTGCCGCACGCGGCACCAGGGGCCCCGCAGGCTGGGGTGGTGCCGCGGCAGGCGTCACCACCGCCCCCGCCGCCGCCGCCACCCGCGGTTGCTGCCATTGACCGCCACACCGAGCATGATGATCTCATGGAGGGTGTGGAGCAAGAAGAAATCTGATGAACGAATGATGTCATGTGGGCCCTCTGGGCTCCCTGATTCAAATTTGTGTTTAATTGTGTACAACCCCTGACTGTGCATTGGCCCCCAGACAACCTCGTTGCTTCTGCTCGACGATCCAGCACGCCGCCATATGCATGCTGTTGCCTGCGTTGACCTTTGACCGCATGCAGACTGACATGCACTGCACAGATGTAAAGATCCCACAGGTGTAAAGCTCTCCACCTGCAATTGTGGTTGAGTAAACGGTGGGCCCCAGACGGTGGGCCCACCCCAGACCAACACGCCAGCGCAGGCGCCTTCTGAATCAGCCCGGTGGGTGCTGCCTGGGGCGGTGCTCGTGTGCAGGGACTCCCACTGTGCGAAATGCGGCCAATCTAACGCCATGGGGCGTCGAACCGGGCAATTGCCCCCGTCGGACCCGTCCTGGCCATGCTGCGTGCTGCGGAGACGTCACCCTCAATCCAGTTGAACCTGTGTGCGCCAGCCTCCCCTGTTGTCTTCCCAGTTCTTGCAGCCCTCCAGGGAGTGTTCTGCCTAGCCTGCCTGCTCGTTTCAGGTGCGGTGCGCTGCCTGAACCCACCCCAAACCTGGCCCCTGCCAGCGATCCTCTGACATTGGCCGCTGCCCCGCTGCAGATCGAAACATGGGTGACTGTGGCAGCACTGGCTTTCTGGACGCGGGCCTGCAGGACCTCAGCGAGCAGGTGGGGCTAGGTCTGCAGTTGACCCCTTTGTTTGTGGGCCGCATTGTGCCCTGCCGCTGCTGGAAAGCGTACCCGCAGCGCATCCATGCACAGTGGCGGGCCGCTGGGAGCCGCGGGTGCAGGCGCAAGGGGTTGAAGCTCTTCCCGCCGTCGTGCGCGCTGGGGCCATGCACGCCACCGCCGCACCTCTCGCCTCCTCTTGGGGTTGGGCTCCCGACCCCAGCCCGAAACGCTCACCCCCTTGCCTAATCCTTTCCAAACAGGTCAAACATGAGCTGAGCTACCTGGCCTGGCCCGGCAAGGAGTGGGTGGAGCCTCGCACGGCAGAGGGCGGCGCCCCCATGTACGACGCCCTCATCGTGGGAGCCGGCCAGTGCGGGCTCGCCATAGCCCACGGCCTGATGCGCGAGAAGGTCACTAACGTCATTTGCCTGGACGAGAACGAGGTGAGGGCGCCAGCAGGGACAGGCGCCGCGGCCCCGGCCCTCCGCCGCCACTCCTGACCGCCTCGTGCCTGCCGCGCGTCCCGACGCCTGACGCCACCCGCCGCCGCTGCCCCCGTGCCACCCCTTCCCTGCCTGCACTGCAGCCCGGCAAGGAAGGCCCCTGGGTGACGTACGCTCGCATGGTGACGCTGCGCACGCCCAAGCACCTCACCGGCCTGGAGTACGGCAACCCCAACCTCACCTTCCAGGCCTATTACGAGGCGCGGTTTGGGCAGGAGGCCTGGGCCAAGCTGGACAAGATCCCCAAGGAGATGTGGTGAGAATCGCGCGTGTGTGTGCGCGCGCGCGTGTCTGTGGCAGGTGGCATCAGCGTGACATGGCATGGCACCAGGGGCTGGCAGCACTGGCAGCAGCGCCTGCCGCTCACCGCCCCGCCTGCCCCGCCTGCCCCGTCGCGTGCCCGCTGCAGGATGCAGTACCTGCAGTGGTACCACGAGGTGCTGGAGATCCCCGTGCAGAACAGCACCAGGGTGCAGCTGATTGAGCCGCTGGATGCCGCCTCTGCCGAGGCCGGCTTCCGCGTGACGGTGGCCCGCTGCGGCGAGCGTCAGGTCATGCACGCCCGCAAGGTCGTGCTGGCCACCGGCATCCAGGGCGGCGGCGAGTGGCACGTGCCGCAGTTTGTCAAGGACGCCGTGCCGCGCCAGCTGTACGCCCACACCTCGGAGGCCATCGACTTTGCCGCGCTCAAGGGCAAGCGCGTGGCCATCCTGGGAGGTGAGGAGGCCAGGGGGCAGCTGCAGGGTGTGTGTCTGCTTCGTGTTTCCTGGGACGCTTGCCCTCTGTGCCGGGCGCCCGCCTGGCTCCCTCCCCTGCATCCCGACGACACCTTGCTGCCGGCTTGGCTCTTCCCTGACCCGCCCCCGGCCCGCTCTGCATTGCATTGCGCTCCCTGCAGGCGGCGCCAGTGCGTTTGACAACGCGCAGTTTGCGCTGGGGCAGGGCGTGGGCGAGGTGCACCTGTTTGTGCGGCGGGAGCAGCTGCCCAAGATCAACCCCATCCGCTTCATGGAGTTCTCCGGCTTCCTCAAGCACTTTGCCGACCTCGATGACACCACCAAGTGAGCCGCTTTCCTCCTAAGACGCACAATGCCTGACGCACAACCCAAACAAACTTCTTCTCTCACGCATCCGCTGGGAACCAAAAGCGCTGGCTGCATGCACCCTCCTTGACGCCCGCGCACGGCGCGGCGCCGCCTTGCCCGCGCTGCCCTTCCCCCCACCGAGGATGCTGAACACGCGCCACGCTGGCTCACCTGCAGTTTGTCACACAACTGCGCAACTCCACAGATACGCTGGCATTGACTTTTTCATGTCCTACAACCAGCCGCCCACCAACGACACCTTCAACCGCGCCGCCGCCTTCCCCAACTTCACCCTGCACCTGGGCTCCGCCTGGCAGACGCTGACCCCCACCGCCGACGGGCAGCAGGTGGGGCAGGGGCGCCAGGCCGTGCATGTCGGGAGCACAGCCCCGGCATCAGCCACAGAGAGGGCCGTGCCCGCCAGCTATGGCACCCTCAACCCGTCACACCTGCCTGCCTGCCTGCCTGCGCTGCCCCACCTGCAGGTCCGCATCATTTCGGCCAAGGGCAACGAGGGCCTCTTCGACTTCCTCATCGTCAGCACCGGCCTGCTGACCGACGCGCGGCTGCGGCCCGAGCTGGGCGCCTGCGCCGACCAGATCGCCACCTGGGGGGACAGCTTCCAGGCGCCGCCAGGCATGCAGCGCAACCAGCTGATCGATGACCACCCCTACCTGGTGCGCCGCGCTGGGCGGCACAGGCCAGCCGCGCTGGCGCCACGCACGCCGCCTTGGCGCGGCGCCGTGCAGCTGCTTCTCAGCCCGTCCCTCGCCCCTGCGGTGCCGCTCAGCACGCCTCCTTACTCCTGCCCCGCCGTGGCCCACCCCGCCCCGCCTCTCGCTGCGCCCGCCTCCCTGCAGGGCCCCAGCTTTGAGTTCCGCGAGAAGCAGCCCGGCGCCGCGCCCTACCTCTCCGGCATCTACGCCTTCAACTACTCCGCACTCGTCTCAATGGGCCTCTCCGCCTCAGCGCTGTCGGGTGCGTACACCGCCGCCGCTCGCGCCGGCCTTCGCTTCCGTGCCGGGGTGTGTTTGAAATGGCCGGCTGCGCCGCCGGCTGGCAGCCGGGCTGGGCCTCGTCCCCGCCACACCCAGGCTTTCCTTTGGGCCGGCCCTGCAATCGACCCTTGCTGCTGTTCCCTGCCGCCGTCGCTTGCTGCAGGCTCCAAGTACGCGCTGCCCAAGGTGGTGGGCGGCATCACCCGCTCGCTGTTCCTGGAGGACTCCCCCCGCATCCTCTCAGCCTACCTGTCGTACCGGGAGGAGGAGTTTGTGGGCGTGTGGCCCCGCCCCGCCACCTCCGCCCTCAAGGCCGCGCTCAAGGGCTCGCCAAACCAGCTGCCGCCGCTGCCGCCCAACGCCAAGGCGGCCGCGGCCGAGGCCCCGCAGGTGTTCAAGACCCCCTCCCTCACCCGCATGTATGTCAGCACGCCGCCGCAGTAGGCAGCCGCCGACCCCGCGTGCTTGAGCCGGCCGGGGCGGCTGCCGCGGCGGCGGGCAGCCCTGCAGCTGCTGCACCGCGCACCGCTCAGCTTGATACTGGTGCCTGTTTGTATGTACACCCACTGCTTCACGGAGCTTGTATGAACACCCAAGCCCGGGTCGTCTGCCCATGCATGTCTGAGCACATGCACACCCGGCCCCCACTCGACAGCTCCTGCACCCGTCACACTACCGCCCATTCTTTCATGCTTTCGTCAAGCCCTGCCGCTTTTTTTCATGCTGTCGCTGATCGCTCATTTTTTCATTTACTTGCCCATTCGTTGAAGCCGCCCCTCCCCCCAAAAGGCTGGAATGAACCGCGGCGTTTGTTTATTGTGTTTAGAACTCCCCCCCTTTCGTGTAGCGCCTGCCCCCTGTCTCTCCCCCAGTCCTGTCTCTGTGCCCTTAGCTCGGTCCGTGCTTCTTGCGCCCTCCAACTCCGCCTCCTTGTGTCCCTCCCCTGTGCCACCACACTCCCACCAACTGGCTTGCTTCCTCTCCCTTGCACACTGTAAACTAGCGTCCAACACTGGGGCCGTCAGGGTTGTTCCACCCGCAGCTCAGCTCGTCCTCGCAGAGCTGTGCCAGCGGGTAATCTTCGCTGTGTTTTGGGCAGCTTGCTTTCAGCCCTGGTGGAAACGGTCGCGTGTCGGCACGGACACGCTCCTCTGGGCGTCTCTAGTGTAAAGCACCGAAGGTCAGCTCACACTTCACGTGCAACAAATTCATCGATGCAGGCCTGCTGTGTCTGCTGTGGTCTCCCCCGCTGCTCACATGCTGGCAGTGGCACGGCGCTGGAACGCCGCCAGCTGCTCCGCAGTCAAGTCGCACTGCAGGTTAGTGACCTCCAGCTGCGCTCCCGGGGCCTCCAGCCTCACTGCACAGCCACACCCGGGGCACGGCAGCGCAAGTCAGGCAGCAGCCGCAGGCAGGCACTGGGGCGCAGGCATTGCGGCCGTCGTTGCCTGCAGCTGCGAGCTGGAGCTGGCTGGCTGGGCGCGCCTGCCCACCTGCCATGAGGCCGCTGTAGGAGACCAGGAGCTTGACCACACCTCGCACCAGCTCCGCCGCCTCAGCCTTGGTGCCGGCATCAGCCAGGTTGGCCTCCAGCTGCTGTGGCCCCAGCCCTGCAGGCACAGAGCGCAGCCGGGCCAGGGCAAGTAAGGCGCGCGCGTCCATCAGCTGCTGGCTGGCTTCCGCCCACCAAGCAGTCAGGGCGGGCCATGCATGCACACAGCACCCGCGCCGTCCTGCCAGGCCGGCTCACCCAGCAGCTCCCGCAGGAACTGCGCCCCGAGGCGCGCCCCAACCACCATGCTGCCATCCTCCACAGTCATCTGGATGAAGTACTGCAGCACAGGGGCAGAGGCAAGTGGAGGCTGAGGTGGGTGCCAGCCAGTGGGACAGGCAGCAAAGGCTGCCGGCATCGTGTGCTGCTGGCGTAGTAGGGCGGCCTGAAGTGCAGGGCGGCTACCTGCGGCTGCCCCGTCTGCGGGTGCCTGAACTGCAGCCTGCCCACAAACGTCTTCACGGTGCCAAAGATGGTGGCCACCAGCGGGAAGGCCTCCGCACCTGCAAGGCACGCAGCCACATCCATTCACCCGAGCCCCCAGGAATGAAACGAAAACAGGCTGGCGACATGCTGCCAGCACAGCGCAGCGGCAGGGGCAGCACCGGCAAGCTTGCCTGCCGAGGCGGCGCGCTGGCTCAGCTGCAGCAGGTAAATGAAGGGCTCGTCCGTGCCGCTGCGACTGCCCCCAGCACCCTGTTGCGGCTTGTCGGGGCTGAGGTCAGGCAGCAGGTCGAATGAGGGCATGTCCTCGTCACTATCCGCTGGCGATGCTGCTGGCGGCGCTGCTGGCGATGCTGGCGCTCCCACGGGCTGCTGCAGGCGCAGCAGGCTGGGCGCTGCCGGCCTTTGCTGGCTGGTGCCAGGTGGCTGAAGCTGGGGCATGCTGGGCAGCGCCCCACCCCTACTGCCGCCAGCTGCTGCTGCCCTCCCTCCTCCTTCTCCAGCTGATGCTGCCGCCGCGCCAGCTGGCAGGGAGGCTCGAGGCGGCTGCGGAGGTGTGGGCTGCGCGGAGTAGAGCACTTCTGTCAGGGACGGTGCCACGTCAAACAGGCTGGGGTCGGGAGGTTCCAGCTGTGGCACAGCAGGCTGCAAGGCCTCCTGCTGCTTCTGCTGCTGCTGCTGCTGCTGCGAGGGATCCGTCCCTGACGGTGGGGAAGGCTGCTGCTCCAGCTTGCTGGCACCAAGCCGCGTGGCAGCCTGCTGGGGCTTGGACGCTGCGCCGTCGGCTGGAGAGGAGCCCAGCGGCGGCAGGGTCTGCTCGGCTGCCTGGCCGCTGCGCCGCCGGGGGCACTGCCCTGCGGTGCCCGCAGGCCCTGCTGGCAGTTGTGCAGCAGCAGGGGCGCCAGCTGCTGCTGGTGCGTTGCGGCCTGCTGCCAGGCGCGGCTGCTGCTTGGGCGGCGGCTGCTCCTCCTCCTCCTCCTCCTCCTCATCCCATCCATCATCGCTCGCGTCGCCACCTGCCTCCTGCCGGCAGCCGGTGGCGGCACCCCCCTGGTTGCCGCCACCTCCATCCGCAAGTTGCCCAGGGTCTTTTGGCAAAAACTTCCCATATGCCTCCGCCACCTGCCCTGCCCCCTGCTCCTCCTGCTGCTCGTCCATTCCGCCATCGAATCGTTCCCAGGGTTCTAGATGTCGAGAGGGCGGCAGCTCATCCTCGCGCTCCAGCGCTGCAAGCACGACACAGGGGCAGACAATGTGGCGAAGGTGTAGGCGTGACAGGTTCAGGATGGAGTGTGCGGCAGGCACTGAGGAATAGAGATTGCCCCTTTCCTCGATGGCGCCATAGCTCAGCGAGGCACCCTGCTCTAAAGTCGCCCAGACTCACCGTCGCCCTCCTGCCAGCCAGGCTCCTGCTGCTCCGCTTCAGCCATCTCCACGTCCACGCCACCTGCCGTGCCGCCGTCGCCCTCACCGCTGCCGGGCACCTGCTGCTGCTCATCGTCGCTCAAGCAGATTGGGTCGTCGAGCGTGCCTGCTGCCAGGTCGCTGGCTGCTGCGCCGCCCCTGGCCGCGTCACGCGGGCGCTGCAGCAGCTGTGGCGCCGCCCGGGCCTGGACCCGCGCTGCTGCAGGCTCTGCGCCAGGCACTGCAGGCCTCTGCCGCTGCTGCTGCTGCTGCATGGGTTCTGCGAATGCAAAGTCCGCAGCAGCGGCTGGCCCATCTGCCGCCGGCTGCGCTGGCTGCAGTGCTCGCTCGGGCTGGGTGGGCGGCTGGCGCAGGGCCAGACGGCTGCGCCTGCAGCAGAAACAGGCACAGGTGCATGAGTTGAGTGGCACCCATTGGTGCCGTGGTTGGTGCAGCCACGTCCCCCGCACCAAACACACCACTGCCCACAAGGCACTCACTTTTGGCCCCCTGATGCTGCTGCGGCGCGATTGTGCTCTTGCAGTGGAGCAGCTGCCGGTGCGGGTGCTGGTGCTGGGCCAGCGTGCTGCGGCTGCTGCTCCCGTTGCCTGCCAAAGCTGAAGCTCTGGCCAGAGTGCTGCTGCTGCTGCCTGGATGGCTGCTGCTGCTGCTGCTGCTGCTGCTCGTGCTGCAGTGTGGGCTGTCCAAAACTCAAGCTCCCGCCGCTGCCGCTGTTGTGCTGCTGAGCCCTGTCGGGGCGTGGCAGCAGGGGCTGTGCAGGCTGCTGCTGCTGCTGCTGGGGCTGCTGTTGGGCCATAGCTCTCACTGGCGGAGCTCCTCGGCCTGCCGCTGCTACTGCCGCCTGAGATGCATGAAGGCGGTTGCCAGCGGGGCCGCCTCCCTGCGCCTGCTGTGCCTGCTGCTGGTGGGACAGCAGCTGCGTCGGCTGCTGCGACGGTGCCCCCAGCTGGCGCTGCGGGGCGGCTGCTGGGACCTGCGCCGCCTGCTGCTGGGCGGGGTGGGCCCCAGCGCTGCCGGGGGCCGGATCGGCGGCCCATGCTGCCCGCGAGGCAGCTGCCATGGCCTCCTGCATGCTGGGTGGTGGACCCCGCCTGCCGACTGCACGCAGAGGGCGCAGCAGAGCAGGGCACAGGGCCTGTCTGGTCAGGAAAGTGCTGGCAACCTGATAACCTGCCGCCTGAAGCGCTGCCAGCATGCCCAGGACAGCAGGTCGGAGGTACATCCATGCGACGCCCCTCCCCGCCCCCGCCCCACCTGCCGGCTGCGTCCAGTGCGCCACCATGCGCTGCCGCGCCTCCTCCAGCCTCGCCACCCGTCCGCCCAGCACGGCGCAGGTCTGGGGCGTGAGCAGCAGGATGCCGCGCCGCACCGCCGCGCCCTGCACCACCAGCTTTGTGCCTGCCGGCATTGCAGAGTGCAGCGCTGGCGTGGGGCGGTACTCCATTGCCGCCACATGCTGCACACCTGCGGGTCGAGGTCAAGGCAGGTGCCGCGTGTGTGCTGACAGGCAGGTGGGCCTCTGGGTGCTGCTGGGCAGCAATTGCCCGGGTTTGTGTATCAGCATGCACGCATACAGGCTCAAGTTCATGCACCAAGGGCACATGGTGCTGGCTGCAGCACCGTGGCAGCAGCACCCACACACACCGTCGGTGAGGAGCAGCTTGAGGCAGCGCGAGCTGCCGTCGTTGCCCGAGTAACGCTCCCGCACCGCCACCCCGATGTTGACCACCTCGTCCACTTGCAGCACCAGCTTGCCGGGCAGCACCGTATCGTGCAGGGCCTGCGGAACAGGAGAGTTGGGCAGCGGCGGCGCAGCTTGGCGCCAGGCTTGGCGGCGCTGGCAGCCCGGCGTGCGGTGCGGCGCTGCCCATCCACTGCCACCGAGGTCCGGGGGCACCAGATCAGACGCCCAGGGGCCTGCCCACCTGCACTTCCTGCGGGAGGGCGGCCGCCCCGCACTGGTTCAAATCGCTGTGCAGGAGCTGCTGGAGGACATGCTTGGCCTTGTGTTGCACAGGCAAGGCGGCAAAGCCCGGCGCCGAGGCCTGCAGGTGCGCCACGCAACTCGTGAGCCAAGCGGGCTGCAGCTGGAGGCCCAAAGCCTCCAGCTGCTGACTTAGTGCATCCATCCCTGTCGGGAAACAATGCGGGGGCGGCAAACATCGAGTGTTTCTGCTATGCCGTGCTGTGCCACACCGGCTGGAAGAATTTGACGCGCCTATGATCTCTCCTGCACATCAAAACCGTGCACAATTGTTCTAGAGCAGCTGTGAGGGCTGCAGGGCTCGGTTGCCTTCCTGTTTTGAGGAGTCGGCGCCGCCCTTGCCTCCTGTCCGCGTGAATTGAAACCAGATGGGGAAAAAGGGCAGAAAAGGGATCGATGACGACGAGTGGCTCAAGGAGTTTGAGGATGCGGACGTGAAGGCAGAGGAGCCGGCAGCAGAAGAGGCTGCACAACCTGCAGGTGGGCAGACCTGAAGCTTGCCAGCCTTGGTCTGCCCTGCAGAGCCCGCAACCATATCTGCATCCAGCGTGCATGAGGCGTTGTGCACTGCTGCCGGCTCCTGGCGGCCCCAATGGAGCCTACGTTGCTCCCAGCAGCCCTGTGATCGCCGCGAAGTGCAGCAGCGTCCGCCTGTTCCGCCAAGTCCTGCCGCCGCTGCCAGCCGCCGCTGCCCACCGTCACCTGCCTGCCTCGCGACCCACCGCTCGTTTGGCGCTGCTTGGTTGGCTGTGCTGCTTGCCGCAGTCAAGAAGAAGGAGAAGACAAAGGGCAAGAAGGACAAGAAGAACAAGAAGGCGGCTGCCTTCGAGTCGGATGATGATGAGCCTAAGCTGGAGCTGCCACCCGTGGCTGCCGAGGAGGAGGAAGAGGAGGAGGAGGCGCCTGTGACCCAGACCAAGCAGAAAGCAGGCGGCAAGAAGAAGAAGGGCGGCGCCAGTGGGGCCAGCGTGTTTGCGCTTCTCAACGGCGATGATGAGGAGGAGGAGCCGGAGGAAGAGGAGGAAGAAGAGGAGCCTTCCAGCAAGGTGGGTCGCGGTGGTTGGTGTGTAGCCGATCTGTGGGCTGGCATGGAGCGGTAGGTTGCTCTGCCACCCGCCGCGGGCTCTGCTGCGACGACTGGCTGCCGACGATGCCGGGCACGCGCTGGCGGGCTGCAGGGCGGCGCGCCCGTGATGCGTGTCGCCGAGGTGGTGAGCGTGGCGCCGCACCCCAAGGCCGACCGCCTGCGGGTGTGCCAGGTGGATGCCGGCGGCGTCAGCACCGTCAAGGTCGTCACCAACGCGCAGAATGTGGAGGAGGGCATGAAAGTCGTGTTTGCGGTGAGTGGCCCTGCGGCGGCAGCAGGGCGTGGGGCAGCGTTGCGAGAACGGGACGAGGGCCAGGAGGCGGAGCTGGATTGCCAGCAGTTGGAGCGCAGCAGTGCTGCTGCTCGGCTTGTGGCGCCCGCTGGCGCCGCGGGAGCGGTGGCGCATTGTGATCGTCCGTGTTCACCTGGCTTCTCCCTGGCTGCGACCCCTGGCCCGCAGCCCGTGGGCTGCACCACCCGCAATGGCGTGACGATCGAGCAGGCGGCACTGCGTGGCGTGGACTCCTTTGGCATGCTGTGCAGCGCGCACGAGTGCGGCTGGGTGTCGGAGCCAGGTGCGACGGGGAGGCAGGCGCCAGCCGGCTGGCTGGCTGGCTGGCTGCGATCCTGGGTAGCAGGCGGGGATGCCGGCGGTGCCAGCCTGGTAGGTAGCGGTGCAGGTTGATCAGCGTGGCTGGCCTGGCCTTCTGCGGTGCCGTGCAGATGGCGTGCTGGTGGTGCTGCCAGAGGATGCCGAGGTGGGGGAGGAGTGCCCCGAGGAGCCGCCAGAGGTGCGTCTGGGTGCAGCAGTTTCCGGCAAGAGGCTCCACTCTGCTGGGCGTGCATCACAGCGCAGGGAGGGGATGCTGTCGTGGGTATCCACCCGGCAGAGATGCAAGCAGCTGTTGCAGCAGCAGCGCCCCGCACGCAACACGCAAGTGGTGCTGGGATTGCTCATGGCTGGTAGGCGGCGCTTTGGCTCAAGTGGCTGCTACTGTTGGCATGCAGGGTGCCATCTACGGCGCGTCTGCCGGCAAGAAGGAGAAGAAGGAGAAGAAAAAGAAGGCCAAGCAGCCTGACACGGACAGCCTGTTTGCTGCGCTGGCTGGCGACGGCGAGGAGGCGGCGGCGGAGGAGGAGGAAGAGGAGGAGGCACCCGTATCCAAGCACAAGTCCAAGAAGGACAAGAAGAAGAAGAGCGCCGACGTCAGCAGCGCGTTTGCAGGTGCGCACAGCGGTGCTTTGGGGAGTGCGTGCAGCTGGGCTGCAGGGATGGCGCTCGAGGGCTGTGGGGCAGCTGGACAAAGCGGGCGCAAAGGTGCTGTCAAGGAGATGTGCAGACCGTGGGCCAGAGTGCCATCACCCTCCTTAGAGCCTCCTTCCTCCCTCCTTTTTGCAGCTCTGACCGTGGAGGATGAGGAGGTGGGCGAAGAGCCGGAGGATGAGGAGGCGTCCAAGGCCAAGAGGAAGAAAGAAAAGAAGAAGAAAGTGGCGGATGCCGAGTCGTTGTTCGCGGCGCTGGGCGGCGGCGAGGGTGAGTGCTGCCACGAGACGGCTCGCACGCGCCTGGCTGGCTGGCTGCCTTGATGATTCGTGAGCGGGCCCTCTCTATCGGCCTCATCCGTGCGCTCGTGCCTGTGCGTTTTGCCGACTGCCCTGCTGCAGAGGAGGAGGCGCAGGAGGAGGAGCCCAGGAAGGAGAAGAAGGACAAGAAGGCGTATGCCGACATAGATGTGGCCGCGCTGCTGGCGGGAGACGAGGAGGCGGCGGCGGCGCCAGAGCCCACGCCAGCAGCAGGTGTGCCGCTGCAGTGCGCCTGCTGTCTGCTGGCAGGGTCGTGGGTAACCGATTGGGTGTTGGTTCAATGGGGTTATGCGCTGCGCCTTGCCTGCTGTGCCGCGTGCTAACCCGCTATGCCCGCCTGCTCTGCTCGCTGTGCCACGTGCAGGCAAGAAGGGCAAGAAGGAGAAGAAGAAGGGCAAGGCTACACCTGCCGCTGAGGAGGAGGATTTGGACGCCCTGCTGGCTGAGCTGGATGGGCCGCAGGAGCAGCAGCCTGCGGCAGCGGCGGCGCCGGCGCCTGCGGCGGCGGCGGCACCGCCCCCGGCTGGGAAGAAGGACAAGAAGAAGAAGAAGGGCAAGGGCGGCGCCAAGGAGGAGGAGGAGGAGGTGGGTGGCTGGTGCTGCTGCTGGTGGTGCTGCTGGTGGTGGGGGTGATGGCGGTGGTGGTGGTGGTGTTTTAGATGTTTTAGACGCAAGGCGCTCGAGCATGAGGGATGCTGCTGCCTACCTGCCTGCCTGCCTGCCTGCCTGCCTGCCTGCCTGCCTGCCTGCCTGCCTGCCGTGTGCTGCGTGTGCACCCCTTAGCGCCACCCGACCCTGCCTCCCTCGCCGCCGTGCTTGCGCAGGACCTTGATGCACTGCTGGCCGAGCTTGGGGCTGCGCCCGCCGCGGGGCAGCCCCCTGCGGCGGCGGCGCAGCAGTCGGCGGCTCCCGCGGCGGCGTCCGCCGAGCGTGCTGAGACCCCAGAGGGGGAGGAGGGCGATGGGGAGGGCGAGGGAGAGGAGGGCGGCGACAAGGAGATGTCTGCTGCAGCCAAGAGGAAGGCGAAGAAGAAAGCAAAGGAGAAGGCGAAGAAGGCGGGGGCGGCTGGCGGCGAGGAGGCCGCCGAGGAAGGTACGCACCAGCGTGCAAGCAGGTGTTGGATGGGACACGTCTGGCACGCGGCGGCCGCCGGCGCTTTCCTTTGCTGCGGCATGGCAGCCCTGGTCCCAGTTCTCAGAAGGATGGAGGGTGGCTGCTGCCGGCAGATCCTGACACGCTGCTGCCGCCACCACGGCTGCTGCTGGTGCAGCTCCTGCAGAGGCGGCCGGCGGCGGCAAGGGCAAGAAGGGCGGCGGGCCGAAGGTGTCGGCGGCGGTGCGGCGCATGCAGGAAGCCCTGGAGGCTCAGCGCAAGGCCCAGGAGGAGGCGGAGCGGCTGGCAGAGGAGCAGCGGATCAAGGTGGGGCACAGACCAACAGGGCTGCACAGCTGCACTTGGGAGGGCAGGCATATGGGGCTGGGGAAGCAGCTAGTGCACATGCTTGCAGCCGCTGTGCCGCCGACCCCCTGCACACAGCTCCCCGCCTTGGCATTGGACTGATCCCCGCCTGCGCCTGCTGTCTGCTGGCTGGCTGTGCAGGAGGAGGAGGAGGAGCGGCTGCGGGAGGAGGAGGAGCAGCGGCAGATGGAGGAGGCGGAGCGCAGGTGCGTTGCGCGGGCCGTGTGTTGCCTAGCAGCCGGCACCCAGCTGCATTGGTTTGGGGGCGAGCCCTGCCGCATCTGTTGCACAGCAGCTGTCGGCCAGCCAGGGGCCAGGCCAGCCGTGCAAGCCAGTCTTTGGGGTGCCGCTGACGCCCTCTCCCGCCGCCGCCGCGTGCCTGGGCTGCTGCAGGAGGCGCGAGAAGGCTGAGCGGCGGGAGCAGCTGAAGCGCGAGGGCAAGCTGCTGACGGGGAAGGCCAAGGAGGAGGCGGAGCGGCGGGCCCGCGCGGCGCAGCAGTTCCTCAAGCAGGCGGGGCTGAACCCCGATGAGCGTGAGTTGGGGCTGCGTGTGGGGGGCCTGTGTGTTTGTGTGTGTGGGGGTCCCTAGTGTGAGTGTGCATGTGTGGTGCATGTGTGGTGGTGGTGGCCATGTGAGGGAGGGGGTCCTTTCTGCGGGTTACTCAGTCCACAGCCAGCCAGCTGGTGGCCCCTCCCCGCGTGCTCACCTGGCCCTGCTCTGACCTGGCGCTGCAGTGCCCAAGAAGAAACCCGTCTACAGCAGCAAGAAGAAGCCGCAGAAGAAGAAGCAGGAGGAGCAGCAGCAGCAGGCCGAGGCGGAAGCCGCGGCCGCGGCAGCGCCAGAGGAGCAGCAGCCGACCGCCGACCAAGGGCTGGCAGCAGCGGCGGGGGCGGCAGCGGCAGGGGCAGCGGCCGGAGCGGCTGCAGCAGCGGCGGCGCCAGCGGAAGAGGCGCCAGCGGAGGCTGCGGCAGATTCGTGGGAGGATGCTGCGGACGACTGGGAGGCGATGGATGTGGATGAGATCAAGCTTCCTGGCCAGGAGGACAAGCAGCGGCAGGCGGCGGCGGAGGCGGAGGAGGAGGAGAAGGCGCCGGCGGCGCAGGCCAACGGCAAGGCTGCTGCCGCGACGGCGGCCAGCGCCAAGGCAGCCGCGGCCATCAAGGCTGCAGATGCGGAGCTGGCAGCGGCCACGGCGGCGGTGGAGCAGGAGGGCAGCTCGGAGGAGGAGGAGGAGAGCGAGGAGGAGAGCAGCAGCGAGGAGGGCAGCAGCAGCGAGGAGGACAGCTCCGATGAGGGTGGGTGCGCGCCCAGCTGCCTAACTGGCATGCGGCAGCTCGCCGGCTCTGCCCTGTCATGCGCGAATGCAGGCCAGTCGGCCTTGTGTTTGCCTTTTCTTCGCCTCCCTAAAACCAATCCAAGCCATGCACCGTCATCCCAACCCCTCCCAACCCGTTCTTTCTTTTCTTCCTTTCTTCCCACCGCAGACTCCTCGGACTACAGCAGCTCCGAGGAGGAGAGCGACAGCGAGGACGAGCGCGAGCGGCGGCTGGCAGGTGCGGCCGCAGCACGGCAGGCCGCCGGCCCCGCTGCACGCGGGACAACAGCCCCTCAGCCAGGCTCCGTGCACTGCCCCTGTCCTGCCCTCTGCCCCCTGCTCACCAGCCCAATGTTCCCTGCCTCGCCTGCCCCTCACCTGAGCCCCTTGTTTTCAACTGCAGCGGCGCGTGAGCGGCGGGAGGCCAAGCTTGCGGAGGCTCTGGCGGCGCGCGACCCCAAAGACCTGCGCTCGCCCATCTGCTGCATCCTGGGTCACGTGGACACGGGTGGGCTGGCTTGGCGGGCCGGCACAGCCGCACGCTGCGGCGGCGGGGCCTTGCCCAGCGTGTCCCTGCCACTGCTGCTTCCACAGCCGGCGCGGTGCTGCCGCTGCCACGCCCGAGCGTTGCCACGCCCTCAACTGCCTGTGCCGCCTTCCGACGCCCTCCACCTGCTGCTCCCTCTGCAGGCAAGACCAAGATTTTGGACAACATCCGGCGCACCAACGTGCAGGACGGCGAGGCCGGCGGCATCACGCAGCAGATTGGCGCCACCTACATCCCCGCATGTGCGCGCCCGGCTGCGCCCGGCTCCCTGTCGTGCCCTCCTTCCCCCAGCCCAGCCCTGCCCGCGCCCCTTCCCCGAGCCCTCTGCTTCCCTGCTGCCGCTGTCCCTCCCTCTCCATGCTCCCTGCTGTGTTCCTAGCTCCACCGTGCTGCCCCCCCGCGTCTCTGTTGTGCCCCCGGCTGACCCGCCCTGCCTTCCTGCCTCCCTGCTTCTACCGCCGCCGCCTGCAGCCGCTGTGGAGTCGCGCACCGAGGAGCTGCGCAAGGGGCGGCAGTTCGACCTCAAGCTGCCCGGCCTGCTGGTCATCGACACCCCCGGCCACGAGTCGTTCAGGTGCGGCACCCGCCTTGGTACGGGTGCAATGCGCTGCAGAGTGCAGTCATGCCGGGGCTGGCAGGCGGGCCAGCGTCGCGCCGCACGGCTCGGCCAGTGCCAGCAGCCTCCTTCCGCCGCTGCCCTGGCCTGCCTGTGCCTGACCGGTGCCCCGGGCCCTGCCTGTGCTGCCCCCGCCTCCCTGCAGCAACCTGCGGTCTCGCGGCAGCGGCCTGTGCGACATTGCCATCCTGGTGGTGGACCTGATGCACGGCCTGGAGCAGCAGGTGGGGGTGGCAGGCGGATGGGGCGGGGCCGGGGACTGCGATCTTGTGTGGGTGTGGGGTGTGTCGGGCAGGGCGTGTGAAAGACTGCAGGCAGAGTGGAGAGATGCCCTCGCCTCTGCGATGCCGCTTTTTGGCGTGTCCTGCCGTGCCCAGAGGCTCTCCACCACTTGCCCGCCCTACATGCAACCGCCCACCCGGCCGCCCGCTGTGCCCCTCCCTCCCTCCCTCCTGCTGTCCCTCCCCGCCGCAGACCATCGAGTCCATCAACCTGCTGAAGATGCGCAAGACGCCCTTCATCATCGCCATGAACAAGGTGGGTGCGTGTGTGTGGTGGTGGGAGGGGTGCTGTTGGCTGTTGTGGTCTGACTTGTGAGGGCCGTGTGTGCGCGTGTGTGTGGTGGGGGCCCTGGGAGCAGGACCCTGTACCCGCTGCTGGGCTCTTGCCATCGTGCTTCACATGCACAGCCAGATGCTCACAGTACAGTCCCCTGTGTACCGCTTGTACCGCAGGTGGACCGGCTGTACAAGTGGAACAGCGTGGCCAACTCGCCCATCCAGGACGCCATGGCGCGGCAGGAGGAGTATGTGCGCAAGGAGTTCGAGGACAGGCTCAACCAGGTGCGCCTCATTCGCTCATTCATTCTCTGTTTGTGCAAAAAATGTCGCTTTGGTTTGGACAGACTGGACAGCGTGTGGCGGAGTGGCGCACCTGTCCCACCCGCCCCTGCCCCACACCAGCCCCCTCACCACCACCACCACCACCACCACCCCGCCTTCCTGTTGGTACTGCAGGTCATGCTCCAGCTGAACGAGCAGGGGCTGAATGTGGCGCTGTACTGGAAGAACCGCGACCCTCGCTCCTTCATCAACATCGTCCCCACCTCCGCCATCACTGGAGAGGGTGCGCCGGGGAGGTGGTGTGCCGGGTGGAACATGGGCAGCTGGAAAATCATGGGCAGCTGGGGAGCGCGGGGGCAGCCGGGGGCAGCGAATGCCCCTCTGGGCTGGCATGCCCCGCCTGCACCATGCAGCTCTTCGCTGGCCACACTGCCGCGCCACGCCCTGCTCTCATGCTGCTGCTGCCGGTCACCCTGAGATTGCCCGACCCCTTACCGCTTGCTCCCCTGCTCTTCCCTGTCCGCCCCCGCTCGCCCCCGCAGGCATCCCCGACCTGCTCCAGCTTGTGGTGAAGCTGACGCAGAGCCTGATGGTGGACCGCCTCATGTTTGTGAACAGTTTGGAGAGCACGGTGCTGGAGGTGAAGCAGATCGAGGGGCTGGGCACCACCATCGACGTGGTGCTGGTCAACGGTGAGCCAAGGAGGGGGGGTGGGGCTGTGTGTGGGAGGTAGTCGTGTTCTGAGTGTGGGGGGTAGTCGTGTTGTGGGTGTGGGAGGTAGCTGTGCTCGCCCCAACCTCGCCCCTGCCCCCGACCTTGAGCGCCGCCCCGCCCCCGCAGGCATGCTGCGGGAGGGCGACACGATAGTGGTGTGCGGCCTGGGAGGGCCCATTGTCACCACCATCCGCGCCCTGCTCACGCCGCAACCGCTGAGGGTGAGCAGGGGCCGCCTGCGTGCCTGCACCGCACTGTGCTGCTCAGCCCGCCCTGCTGGCGCGCCCCGCTTGCTACCTGTGCGGACTGCACAAGCCAGGCCCGCTTCCCTGGCATGCCCACCATGGGATCCGGGTATCATGTATCGCCTGCATGACCGCTGTACCGCCTGTGCTGTACCGCCTCCTGTACCACAGGAGATCCGCGTCAAGGGGCAGTACGTGCACCACAAGGAGCTGCGGGCCGCCATGGGCGTCAAGATTGCGGCGCACAACCTGGAGAGCGCGGTGGCGGGCACTCAGCTGTATGTGGTGAGCCGCTGGGCGGGCAGGCGGCGGAGGTCGCCAAACAGGAAAATCAGCTCTTGTGGCGGTGGGGGTGGGGTGGGGTGGGGTGTGAGCTGGAGCTGGTCCGTGCTGGGGAGGGTGCGCCTGCGGCAGAGAGTCACGGCCAGGCGCCGCAGGTCGCGGCAGCGTGTGCCGGGGGAGCCGCCGCTGCCCTCTCCGGCTCCCCTCTCTCCCCGCTTTCCTTTCTACAATCCCATGCCCAGCCTCCTCCATTCCTCCAACCCTGCGCTGCCCACCCGCCCCTACCCCTCCCACCGCAGGCGGGCCCCGATGACGATGTGGAGGACCTGAAGGATGCGGTGATGGAGGACATGCAGGACATCTTCTCGTCGGTGGACAAGACGGGTGAGGGGCGCCTGTTTAGCACTGCCGTGCCTGTGCCTGGAAGAAGCAACGCCCGCATGTATGGTGATGTATGGTGCGCCTGGGGGATATGGCATGCTGGGCACGGCTTCAACCGGCCGGCAGGTGTACCTGCCCTGATGCGGCGCCGAGCGCCGTCGCGCCGGCTTCTGACGGCCGGGCTGCTGCGTCGGCCGCCGCATGGCCTGCAGGCGAGGGCGTGTGCGTGCAGGCATCCACGCTGGGCTCCCTGGAGGCGCTGCTGGAGTTCCTGCGCTCCGACGACGTCAAGGTGTGTGGGCGGCGGCGGCAGCGACCCTAATGGCATCCCCGCCCCTATTGGCAGGCACTCACACTTGAGCCTGGGATCTCGCGCCTACACACACCTTTGGAAAGGGATCCTGGGGCCTACCAGCTCTGCTGACGAGAGCACCCTGTCCCCTGCCCTTGCAACCTTTTACAACCGCAGATCCCCGTTTCCTCCATCAACATTGGCCCCATCAACAAGAAGGACATCATGCGGGCCAACGCCATGATTGAGCGCGGCCACAAGAAGTTTGGGGTCATCCTGGCCTTTGATGTGCCAGGTGAAGGGGAGGCAGGGGCAAGGGGAGGGCAGGCAAGGCACTGTTGTGTGCGTGCTGTCGCGCCCAGAAACACACGGGGGCGGCGCGCGGCGCCTCTCCTCCTGCCTGCCTGGAAGCTCCCACCCCTGGGTTGTCCTGTCCCCGTCGCCGCCACAGTCCCGATGGAGGTGCTCATTGTCTGCCCTCTGCCCCACCCCCGCAGTCACCCGCGAGGCCGGCGCCCTGGCCGAGCAGATGGGGGTGCGCATCTTCACAGCAGACATCATCTACCACCTGTTCGACCAGTTCACAGCCTATCTGAAGCAGGTGTGTGCGTGTTGGGGGGAGGGTGCTCTGACAGACAGGGCTGGTGGTGGGCTGGGTCGGGTCGAGTTTGCCAGCCACGAGTTTGCATTATCGCCGCCCTATGCGGCGGGCCGTGGAAGTGATTTTGGTGTGGGTGTGCGGTTGGCGCGCTGCATGCCTGCCCGCCGGCCTATCCAACCCCTGTCCTCGGTACACCGCCTCCACCTGCCCCGGGCGCGCAGGTGAAGGAGGAGGAGCAGGAGGCGGCCAAGCTGACGGCGGTGTTCCCCTGCGTGCTCAAGATCCTGCCCACCTGCATCTTCAACCAGAAGGACCCCATCATCCTGGGGGTGGAGGTGGTGGAGGGCATCGCCAAAGTGGGCACACCCATCTGCGTGCCCACGCGGGTGAGCATGAGCGATGGCAGCAGCAGCAGCAGCAGCAGCAGCGGCAGCGGTTGTCATAGCGGGGCGGGAAGGGGGGGACGCCCCGCCGCAGGGCGCCGGGTGGGGGCGGCCTAGCGTCCGTGCAACAGCTGGGGCAGGATGGCTTGCGGCGTGGGGTCCGAGGATGGCGGGCTGGCATGTGCCGGCCCGTGCCTCCCCGACAGCCGCCCGCTGTGTGCTGCGGCGCCCTCCCCGCAGGGCGGCGTGGACCTGGGGCGCATCGCCAGCCTGGAGAAGGACCACAAGGCTGTGGAGGTGGCCAAGAAGATCG